AATGCCATAACAATGATTTGGTGAATAACTTAGTCCCCCGTAGTTGTGGCGGAATCGCTGCTCAAAACTCCACATATTTCACAAATCCAGGCTTTCCTTCAGCTTATAATAACACAAATACCTGTTCGCTGACTATACATAGAATACCAGGAGTTAATCGCATATGCCAAATTAGGTTTGATTACAATCTAAAACTTTAACTTGTTTAAAAATGGCAATAATTTGAATTAAATGTTTTATCGCCAAAGACTTGATTTTATGGACTTTGAATTAAAACAACCGATTGATGGAAACTGTGTTTCCGATCGATTTATGATTACCGGACATAATCTAAATTCACGTGTGCCTGAAATGTGTGGCTATAATACCGGACATCACTGTATCTTAAATTACATCGCTTAATTAAGCACAATTACGTGAACTAATTATTAATTAATTTAATATTTAGTATACATAGACGTGGATGGAGTTCAGGGTCCCGTCATATTGACTATGAGGACAGATGGGTCGGCACAAAGGCGTTGGAATATTCTTGTGTCGCAAATAGAATGCATTAATCCTTCGAAAGGTTCTCAACTAAAATTAAAAACTTGAAATTTATTTTCTTTCCCATTAAATAGTTATATAGAATAATATTTTCTGTTTTGCACACATTTTCTTACTTTCTTTTACAATATCTACTTTAATATACTATCAATTATTTGAATCTATATCACAATATTTCAATAAATCAATTTCACTGTAACTTCACAAAGTGTTTTCATATGCATTTCATTTCACACGCATTGCATTGTTTATAAGACTTGATATAATTAAAAATAACAATTTCCCAATCAATAGCGCCATCAAATTGTTTGCAGTACTTTATGGGTCCGACGGGTGTTATAATGAGTTTTAATTATGAATTCCTTAAGCAAACAAATAGTGACACTAACTTTAAAGGCATCGGATATTTCAATAATTTAGACTATAGTATATGCTTTAGGAAAGAGCAACATTTTTGTACGCAAACATATACGGTAGTCAATACTGGATCCGAGCAAATGGATATCGATCATGATTTTAATATCTATGGTGCTGAGACATCTAATATAACGGTGGGTCAGGCGGGCGCTGGCGTTGCCAAATGCATACAAGATTATCTCATATTAAATGGGATCCGCTTTTGTGGCTACAGAATGAGCGAAGAGGGACTCATTCATAATACAAATTATGTTAACATATCTGAATCAATTACAGACACGGGGTATGCCTTTAATGTTTAAAATAATCTATATTATTGATAAACTGAGTTATAATACGTAAACACATAGAACGGGTCCTCTTATTGCAAGATTCGTGTCCAATGGACAGCACAGCGGTCGGGGCTTTAAATTAAATTACAGACAAAACCCGTGCAAAATTGTTTTGGAAACACACACAAAATTACTAGTTAACAATACACATCATTAGTAAGTAAGTATTTATAAATATAAAGTAATTGTATGTTCTGTTAATAAATTGTCAATTTTAAAATAGTGGACAAAGTGTTTTAAAAACGCAAGAGATGTCAACTGGAAATCCGATTCAAATAATTGGGATTTAATTAATTTATTTCAATATTACTTTTACTAACTATTTATTACATTTAATAATTCAGAATTTAATTATGATATTATTTATAACGTAAACGAATTTTTGGTATGAAAATCTTTAATAACAATAACGGCTCAAATTATACGAATATTTCAATAAAGTAATGCAATTCTTATACTGTTTTACATTATAAGAAAAATTTTAATTCATTTTGTTGTCATATTTGAGAAAAAATTTATACATCGGAATCACATCTACAAAATCCAAATTTATATTCTTTAGGCTCAACAACTGGTTGTAGTCGTAGTCCCCTCTCTAACATCCGACACCTGTTGGGCACAAACCTATACTGAGCTTCGGTTGCATTTGACAAACTCTTCGGACTCCATAATCTTTCGGCCACAGACATAGCTCTTGGCCTAAGGGAAAAGACAGTGGATTAAACATTAATCTCAATTTAATAACTAGCAATACAGACCATGTTCGTGTCATGAAATTACTGGCATCAACCCATTCGCCCCACATTGACGCCTGTCCTCCCAAAACCAGACTATTCTGATGATCGGTGCCATTGAAACCTTGCGGATCGCATGTGTAGTATTGAAACCAATCGTAACCGTAAGATATTTTATTCAAATACCAACACGAAGACAGTATGACCTCGTAATCCAATTTTGTTAATTCATATAATTCTGTGTTGAAGTTCTGTTTCCACACATTAACGATAGTATTGTTTGGAATCGAAATATTTCTGTCAAACACTTCCTGCCAAACGATCCAACTTTTGTTTAGTCCCGAAATGTTTTTAATTAAACGCTTAAAGAAATATTCTTCCAGTTTGTCGTATTCACCACTGATTCCCAGATCTTTCATGAATAACTGGATTTCGGGATTTGATTTCCAACACGTTGTGTTCACCTCATCACCGCCTATGTGTATGTATTGATCCGGGAATCTATTAGCAATCTCTTTAAACAGCGAGTTTAAAAACTCAAAGGTAGTGTTTCTGCTCGGATTCATTGCTCCCAACTGTCCGTTTGGTTTATCGCCAGAATAGCATTGTGTGAGAAGGTGTGGATATCCCTTACCCCACGACAAACAATGGCTCGGAGTATCAAATTCAACGATAACCCGAATACCTCTATAGCGCGCAAATTCAATCACATTCTTGATATCTTCAGCGCTATAAACATGTGTTTTTGGATTATAAGAACCCTTTGAACTCAATTCGGGGAACTCTTGGCTTACATAAGGAAACGATTGGTCGTCCACTATATGCCAGTGAAGAACATTCATCTTATAGTAAGACATTGCCTCCAAGTTTTCGTGGATCACATGTATTGGCAGAAAATGTCTTGAAGTGTCAATTAGTACTCCTCTGTATGTAAAACGAGGAAAATCGACAATAAATGTGGAATTGATTGCAAAAGTATTGTCAGATTTATGTTGAATTAATTGCGAGAATGTTTCCAATCCTCTTAAGGCACCCCAAATAGTGTTAGCGAATAGAAAGGCCTGTTTAGGAAAGTCTTGTGTATCTATTCTTAAAGTGTACATCTCGTCCATATGAAGGTGAGGCCATTGGTCCACACAATCGCCCTTCACTTCAATCGTTATATTTGTTAAATAGTCTTCATTCGGGTTTAATTCAATTGATTCAAATGGACTTTTGTTTTCATTATGCAAATTATAACAGCCGTTAATAAACGCCAATTTACGGTACCTTTTGATCGCATCGTCCAATAAATCACATTTTTGTTTGGTTTTTGTAACAAATTTAAAATTATTTGAATCAATGGTCAGTTGTGTTGCATAACTGACTATTTGTTGAGGGTATGGCACTAAATGAGCGAGGTCCTTCGCATCCCTTAATATCTATACATTTTTTCATAACATATTTTATTATTTACATTAAGTTCATATTTATTCAATACATTTACCTCACAATTGGTTTCATTTGAATTAATTATTGCCAAAACGATAAAAGGTAAAATAATACACTTAATATCTAACATTATTTAATAATTGATTTTTGGTTTTATAATTAAATGAAAATATTTTATTGATTTAATGTTATAAATTATAAACTATATATTTAATGTCAATAATAATGTTTGTTCAGTGACTTGAATCAAATGGGGGACGACTTAAATACTGATAATACATGCGATAATGGGTTCAATTTGAATGATTATTTGCCATCTCTTAATAATTGTTTTACTCAATACTTTACAATATTTAACTTTAT